GTTTTGCTCAGTATATCTTATCGATATCTGAAAGAAACTTATTATTAACCCTATCTAGCTATAGACCGGGCTTTTTTGAGCATGGTGGGACGTGGGGGGGGTCATTGCCCCCCCCCCCTTAGAACTCGCGAACGGTATATGGCATGACCACCAAATTTTCAGAGGATGGTGTACCAGTAAAAAATTATCATCTCTAAAAATTTTTATGACGTAATATGACGTCATTATGACGTCATAAATGTGATTTTATTGGCCAAAACCGTCTAGATAGGTTATTCCCTGAATACTAAATGATATTCAACATAACTTTACCAAAAGTGTTTATTACAGAATATTAGGGTGTGCTAAGTCTTATGTTGCCATAGTAATACCGGTGACGTCATAAAATGACGTCATGCATATTTAAGATATCCGCCATCTTGGATCTTCAATCTTGAATTTACAATTTTTTTTCATGATAAAGCCTAAAATACATTGTAAACATACTGAAGACCTTCATTTAAACCTTTTTTGAAAAAAGAAATGGAAGTATTGATGAAATTAAGGAAAATAACCTGTATATACCTGTTTTAATGATATAGTCCGCCATCTTGGATTTTGGCCAATGACGTCATCAAACTAGCATAAATTATGCATATTTAAGATAGACTTTACACAAAATTATCCGGGATGTTATTAATATTAGAAACCATGAGTAACTTGACATAAAACCAATAAAATTCTATTGTTGAAACCGAAATTACTAAATTTAGCAAAAAATGCCTGTCAGAAACCCGTCGCCATGGCAACACAAAAATTATTATCTTATTCCAATAATAGAAAATTGTTCCCAATAATGTTCTAGAAAAAGTCTTCAAGTTTGGCCGTTCTAGCGCTAGCCGTTCAGACGCTATGTGACATCAAAGTTGGCGCGGGCACTTAAGCCCCCCCCCCCCCGGTCTAGATAGGGTTAAACTCTGCACATAACCACCAATGAACAATCAGGCACTTAAGTGGAAAGTATTGAATATCATTTTATTCATTTAAATGGTTATTTCTGTTATTTAGGATGCTGCTTCTTGGAGATCTAACAGAGGAGAAGCGTACAGGTCACGGAGAGGCTTGTTTTCCTAACAAGTCTGACATAGAGATTTCCAACTACGCCTTTCAAACTGATGATATGGCGGCGGTCGACGAAGGAAGAAGGTGTGGTGTTGTTTATAAGTGAAAACTTAATTAAAACAACATCAGTACAGTGACTTTCGTAAGGTCTATACCTAGACACACACACACGTGGGTACAAAAAAAATTGACCTACGTACTGTTGTACGTACTCCTGCAGCTAAATCAATTAATAACTCGTTCTTGTAAGGTTCTAAGGTCTAAACATACTCTAATATAGTTACATGTACACAGTCTGGGTTACTGCCTATTAGAATGAAGTTAAATTTATCTTTTCATATCAAGAATGTAACAAATTCCGTTAATTGGGAAAAATTGTCCGCATGAAAATTTTTCGTAATTAGAAACAACTAAAAGATTTCGTTCGGCCCACAAACCACGTGACCGCTCCCCCGCGACCTTCGAACTTTCTCAGTTTGTTCTGTTTTTGGGGGAGACGGTTCATGTTTTCGGTCCGCTCCGCTTGAATTTCGAGTCATCGGTATGGAGAAGGAACCTCGGCGCCATCGTCAATCTAGGAGGTGTTCGGTATGTCGTCTGCCTGTGAAGGGACATCCGGGCCCGTGCGGTCCAGGGAAATGCCAGTACGAAAGAGGGAAGGGAGCGTCAGACTCGGACGCGTACTTTTCCCGCCTGAAGGACACGGTTCGACATCTGAGGAAGGAGAGCAAGGTGGACGAGATTGCGCGGCGGGTATGGTCCGAGAGCACATCGGATGAGTCAGAAGACGTCCTGACGCCCCGGCCCCGTTCTTTGCCGGTCAAGACAGCAGACCTGTCTCCGAGACGGGTGGACGGGAACCAGGCTCGACACGCGAGGGCTTACAGTGAGCCACCAGAAGTTCCACGCCTGAAGTCTGCGTTCACGAGCGGTCAGGAGTCGCCGGCGACATCAAAGACATCAAAGAAAGAATCGGACTCGGAGCAGTATACTGTGAGGGATCTACGGGCGTCGAAGAAGTTGGTGAGAGAAGTAGACCAAGTGCTGGAGGGTTTACTGGAGCCAACGTCTCGTGCAAGGGGCAAGATTGCTGAGAAACGAGGAAACCACCGCTCCAGCTCCACATCGTCATGGGGCAGTAACAGTAGCGCTAGCAGTGAAGAAGATCGGCCGCACAGAGCACGCTCGACTCGTTCGCGGCGTTCTAGGCAACGTAGACGGCACAGGAAGCGGAGCAACAGCAGAGACAAGCGGCATAGAAAGACGGAGCAACAGCAGAGGCAAGCGGCACAGAAAGCGGAGCGACAGCAGAGAAAAGCGGCACAGAAACGGAGCGACAGCAGAGAAAAGCGGCACAGAAAACGGAGCGACAGCAGAGAAAGGCGGCACAGAAAGCGGAGCGACAACAGAGAAACGCGACACAGAAAACGGAGCGACAACAGAGGAAGGTCGAGAGCTGCTTCATCGCGTAAACGGGGAGAAAGGAGTCGCAAGAATCGGTCCAGTTCGGACAGTTCGTCGTCCCAGTCGCGTTCAAGAGACAGGCGTCAAAAGAAAGGTAAGACAGGACGCACTCGTACCATAAATGATGCTAGCTCCGCTCGTGTTAAGATAGAATGGCCACAAGAAAGGGCTCATTTCCCTGGCTACGGAAAAAATGGTGGCGTGACTTATGATGAACTAACATTACCGATGTTTGTACATGGTTATGTAAAGAATGTGATCGAGTCTCATTGTCACAAAGTTCCCCGTGTGGTCGAGGACAAGTTATGTCATCTGTCAGACTTGATGTTTGATGCGGTTTACCATGATTGGGTCACGGTTAGAGAGCTACATGCAGCGGTTTTGTACGGGTTGGAGCACGAGACGGTGACTTGGTCTGATTCCGACATGTTGGACACAATCAGGGACAGACATTATCGTACACAGGGTGGTGTTGCAACCGGGAGTGCTCAGGGGGCGGAGCCACGGACGGGTAAGCCACCCTCACGTGATACAGTAGGCACTTCTAGACCGCGTTATTGTGGC